TTCTAATTTCTTTTCTTTTTTCTTTATGTACTTTCTTTCTTCTAATCAAATCCTTTCCTTCTCGGATGATAGTTTCAGCTCTTCTTTGGATATGAGTTATAGTTGCTCCAGCACTAAGAATTTTATCAATTCCACTATTTTCATCTTTTTTTAATTCACTCCAAACTCCAACTCCATTTTTCTGAACTGCTAATACGATTTGTTGATCATATTCATTTTTCCATTCAAATCCATTTGCCCATTGTGGTTTTTTAATTTCAAAAGGTAATTGATTATTATGACGTTTCATATATTTTACAAGAATTCCAATCGTTTTCATTTCTTCATTCTTAGTAACTAATTCAAATGGAAGGAATTTTATTCCTTCAACGTACATCTCTAATTCTCTAACGTTCCCTCCTTTTGATTCTAATTTACTACATGCATTAATAATTCTTTCCATTAAATTACGAACAATTTCTTCTAAATTATCGTTTTGTTTTTTATAACTACTACGTACAATTGTCATAATATCATCTATTCTTGCAAATCCAAATCTCTTCATTCCTCTAAGTACTCCTCTTACTATTTTTTCATCTATCTCTTCAATAATTTTACGTTTTTTTCTTTCACTTTTTTCTTTTTCTTCTTTAGGCTTACTAATAACACCAAGTATTTGTTCATCTAATTTTCTTGCTTCTTCTTTATCTTGTTGAGTAATAACTGAATTCCAAAATTCATTAACATTATTTCCTCCAGTAATAGCAAAATTTTCTACATTAAATGCACCTAATAATTCATTTACTCCACTACTTTCGTCTTTTCCTTCTTCAACATCAGCACGTTCTAAAATTTCATCTATATTAACTTCTTTTCTTTCACCATTATCTTTGTTAAAGATATCTTGTGCACCAAATTGAAGAATTTTTTGTAATTCTGATTTATCAAATAATTCATTTCCATTTTTTTTCCCTTTTTTTTCCATAGTTTGAATAATTAAATGATCTAAAACTAATTTTTTCTTTGCACTAAGTAATATCTTTTCTTCAATAGTTCCTTCTGTTGCTAATCTATAAATATTAACTGTTTTTTCTTGACCAATTCTATGACACCTTGCTTGTGCTTGTAAATCGTTTTGTGGATTCCAATCAGAGTCATATATAATAACTGTGTCTGCTGTTGTTAAATTAATTCCAAGTCCTCCTGCTCTTGTAGACAATAAAAATACAAAATCTGTAGAATCTTTTGCATTAAAATGATCCATAGCTCTTTGTCTAGCCTCTCTTCCCATAGCCCCATCTAATCTTTGAT